GGTGAACCAAAGGATAGGTGTACACTATAAGAGAAGAAGATCTGTTGTGTGTTTTTAAGACTTTATATTTTGTTTAAAGCTGAATATTTACTAAGATTACGTTATAAGGTATTTATAAGAACACCAACAAGTTGAATTATTTTAAGCTTTGCTATAGAAAGCTATTAAGCTAAAGACAAAAAGATGCTTGCTTAAAGAGAGACCATTATATACTTAAAACTAACCTGGCAAAGATCCATAAGCTACTTATAAGCAGAAAAGTTAAAAGATGAAGTCATAGAAATAAATCATGCATACCTGGAAGCCAATTAAAAAGTATAACATTTGGGATTTCCGGTCGGGGCTCGCCAAGAGCAGATGCTTGTAACAGCAGCTGCTCATCTGCTGAATTTTCCCACAGCTTTCTAGGGAAATTCTTACACCCTTAGAGGTACTCCCTCGGAGGGGGAGACCGAAAGCAAGAAGCTTGCTCCAAAACCCAAAATACAATGGAAACCTTCTTGGTGAATTTGGGACTGTTTCTATGCAGAAGGCAGAGGAGGGACACTCGACTAGATGCCGAGCACAAGAGAAACTCTACAGGACTGACGGAGTCTTTAAAATACAGAAAATGAAAGCTCCAACTACAGGACCATTGAGTAAACTAATATTACCCCAAGCCAGTATAAAGGGAAAAGAAGGAAGGGAAGGGTTTCCCTTTAAAGTGGCCATTAGCGGGATGACTAGGCAAATTTAAAAATAAAGAGGGTAACAATAAGAGGTAAAAGCATTTAAAACATTCAGAGATTAGATATGTTACAGCCTTCTTTCTCTTTTGGTGGTTTACGTTTAAGGTAACGTTCCAGAGAAAACTTCGGAGAAAGGACGAGGGGAAGGAAAAGTGAAACCACGACACCATGAAACCTGAGACGAGCAAGGAAGAGGGCATGATACAACAAAGGAGGAGAGAGAAGGAGACGCGATGCGATAAAGGGAACGGAAGTGCAGCAGAAAGAGAAAGAGGAATGACAGGAGAAGAGACATATGAAATAAAGACAGCCAGACTGTGAAATTTAAACAAAAAACAAGACATAGCAACTAGACATTACTTTAACTAATACTGCTTTATAACATAAGAACAAACTTTGTGATAGGAATATAAAGAAAGGAGATGAAGAGTGTCAATTTATACTAGAAAAGCACTATAGAATCATAGTACTAAATAATAACAATGGCTAGTGGTTCCAGAAAATCATCCCTAACCTCACCAGGACAAACAAGTGCCCAAACACAACTCAAATTTAACACTACAAATGTGGCACAGATGTCAATAAAAGACTTAAAAATGCTCATACAAGAATGTATGGCACAAGCTATTAAAAATACAGTAGATACAACACTGTCAGAACTAGTTAGGAAAGAAATTGAACCAATACAAACAAAAATGGGAGAAATGGTTAAAAAAGAATTAGAACCTATACAAACAAAAATAGAAAACATAGCACAACAGATTACAATTGAAACAGAAGACATAAAAAAACAAATAACCGAAAATAAGCAAGAGATACTAAAAATTGCCTTAGCATGTAATAATACAGAAGACAAACTACAAGATGTAGATCAAGAGGTACAAGAAGTAAAACAAAAAGTGGACAGAATGGAAGATACACCGATGAATTTGGAAATGTACAAAGCCTCCTTGGTCTTAAGGTGCCAAAATATCCCTGAAACTCTAGAGAAAAGTTTGAAAGAGGACTTAATACAGAACTTATCAGAACAACTGAATATAGGAAACTATGAAGAGCTGGAACATGAAATAGAAGCTATCTTTAGGAAAAGTACCTCTTATGCAAGCAGAAATAGAATACCTAGGGAGGTTCACATTAAATTTAACAGAAGATACATGAGAGATAAAGTACTGAAAGCCTCAAATGACACTAAAATGATTATACAAGATAAAGAGATAAAAATGGGGGTCCCGTGTGGCCGCGGATGGAAGCAGACGCAGGCTGAGTGAGCTCCTGCCTCTACCCTCCTAAAATCGACTATACATTGGACTATCCACCTGAAAATCGTGCTACAAAGGGATGGGAGGAGCATCTAAAGGGAAATCGAAAAGACATCAGTTACCGGAGTCCTCGGTGAAGACTTATTTTACAAGAACAGAGGCAACTAAAACTGCAGAATTACCAGAACAAAGGGGGCTCAACATGGCGACAGGCAACTCAACACCAGCTTCAAGAGCTACGGACGAAGACACTCCAATTACAAGGAAAGATCTTGTGGAGATGAAAGACAACCTTCTAAAATCCCTTTCAAAGATGGTAACGACTTTGATTCAACCTTTACAATCCCAGATCACTGAATTACAAAAGGACTTAAGCGTCACTTCTACTCTGGCTGAAAACAATGCTGAACTCACCCTCACTCTCCAAGAAGACATGAAAACAATCAGAGCCACTGAAAAGCAAACGAATGCCTGGATAACGGCCCTGGAACACCGTTCTGAAACTGAGAGGGCTGACTGAGAGGGAGGAACAAGGAAGAGACATGGAGCAGTTTATCTCAGAATGGCTGGCATCGGAACTCAAGTTGGAGGACGGTAAGCAGCCTTTCATTGTTAAAGCCTTCAGAATGGGCCCCCTGACCACTGCAAGGAGAAACCGCCCCAGAGACATTCTAGTATAGTTTTTATACCCTAAAACCAGAGACAGGGTCCTCAGGAAGGTGAGAATTCGGGGGTCACTACAGTTTAAAGATGATAAAATCCAAGTTTTGTTGGATCTGTCGGTGGAAACCCTTGATAAACGCAGAAACCACTAAGTTTTCGCTACGAAACTTTTCAAAGCTGGCATCCATTTCCGTTGGAGCCCTGCGTCAGATATCCAAGTTTTCAGGAATGGCCAACAGCATCAAGCAACTGATATTCCCTCTGGCAAAGGTCTTCTCAGTGCATTGAACCTCCAACTCACATCGGAGGAAGAGCAAGCCCTTTTGAACACTTGAAGAGTCCCTGTTCCTTTAGAACCGACTTACTGTCTTTGCTTCACGCCAGCAATCTTTACAGGGAATGTATACTGACGTTAATTGAATCTAACACCTCTCCAATACCTGGATTCATGCTGTTTGCACTGACCATGGACTGCTTATTCACTCATCTCATATGATGGTAATACTACTGTCCTATAATTTTTTTTTTTTAAATGTGGTCAGGTCTCAATTTTTGAAATATTGTAGACGGATGGTCTTAATCAGTCATGGATGTTAATAATATTATTTCTATTAACAGGTAAAAAATAATAAAGAGATAAAAATTTTAAAGGATGTGCCATGGAGGGTTAGGGGGAAAAGGCAACGGTACTCTGTATTAACCAATCGGTTACAGTCAAATGGAATTTCATATAGATGGTTATTTCCAGAAGTAATATTATTCAACTACCAAGGCAGAAGGCATAAAATTGATTCTATATTTAAAGTAAAAGAATTTCTGGAAAGGTTTGAAGGAAACTTAGGATGGCAAGGAGAAGAACAGGAGAGTGAAAATGAGGAAGAAACAAATGACCCAAAAGCAAAAAAAGCTAAAAAGAAAGGACAGGCTAAAGGGAAAAAAAGAACAAACTTCACCCCCTCAAAAATACAAGATACCAATACAGAGAAAAGACAAGAAGAAATGTAAATAAAATGGAGACAATGAATAAACCCAAGATACTCTTGGTCAACGTGAATGGACTTAATAGGCCCCCAAAAAGAAATAGACCATTTCACCAAATGAACAAACTTAAACCAGATGTATACAAGTTATATCTGGTTTGTTCATTTGGTGAAACAAGAAACTCACATTAAGAAAAAGGATACAAAGTATTTAACAGCAAAAAAAATTGGAAAGGTATTTTTTGCTGCTGACTTAAAAAAGAAAAAGGGTGTCAAAGAATGCTTATCTCCAGAGCTCAAATGATGGAAGAATCATTGCCGTTACCATCACAAGACAGAGTAAAAGGACGTTAATTGTAAATATCTATGCCCCCAACCAAAACCAAGGAAATTTTTAAAAATAATTTCAAGAAACACTGGCTAAAGAAAAAATTGATGAGATATGTATTTTAGGGGACTACAATGCAGTATTTGATGTAGAAATGGACCTTAACAAGAACTTTTTTTGAATTAGCAGATGAACAAAGTATAATAGATGCATGGCGAGTTAGAAACTATAATAAGAAGGATTTTACTTACTATTCAGCTAGGCATAATTCTTGGTCATGGATAGACATGATATGGATATCAACATCAATGGTCAATGAAATAATGGAAATGGAAATGGAGATACTACCAAATACATTTGCAGATCACAGTCCACTATTGCTAACGCTTCAGGGAATACGTAAAAAGATAAGATGGTCTATGAATAAAAATTTACTACATGACCAATGGAAATATATCAAATGTCGATAGAGCAAATGTAGTTACCCTTTAAAAAACTGTTCCAAAGTATAACAAAAACAGAAAAACTTCCAGACTCATGGAACCATGCGCTGGCCTTAATACATAAGCCTTACTCAGATGAAAAAAATATCAAAAATTATACACCTATATCTTTACTAAATACAGACTATAAAATATTTGCAACCATAATAGCTACAAGACTGAAAAAACTATTTGGACAAATTATTCACCAAGACCAGGCAGGACTTTTACCAAAAAGACAAATTAACAATAATATGCAGATAATTCTTAATATATTAGAATATTATGAGTTACACCCAGAAAAACAAATGGCACTAATGTTTCTTGATGCTGAAAAAGCCTTTGACAATGTAAATTGGGAATTCTTACTACAAAAATTAGCAGCCTAGGACTGTGGCCCACAATTCTACGCAAATATTAAAGCAATATATACTGAACAGTGGGCAAAAGTAATAGTGAACGGAGATATGACCCAAAACATTAAAATACAAAAAGGTACAAGACAAAGATGTCCATTATCTCCATTGCTATTTATATTTACACTAGAAAAATTAAATGATTTAGTCAGAGGCAATACAAAGATAAAAGGACTAAAGGTAAAAGAAGAAGAATTTAAATTACAAGCCTTTGCAGATGATTTGGTCTTTATATTAGAAGACCCAATTACCTCTATACCTTGTCTGATAGAGACAATACAAGAATATGGACAAGTGGCAAGGTTAAAAATTAATAATAAAAAAACAAATATACTAACAAAAAATTGTACACAGGACCAAAGGAACAAATACAAAAAAACTCTATGATGGAAATAGTTTAAAAAGTGAAATATTTAGGTATAATAAATCCTCTTTTTTTACCCTTTATTGCCTGGAATTGTTTGTTTCACTGTGTGATTTATTGGCTAGCCACACAAGTCAAAGAACCTTAGCACTCTCAGGGCTTTGCTTTCAGTAGCATCCTGCAAGGTTTCAATGCTGTTTCACATCCAAGGAAACAAATCTCAGACCAGAACCCCATTTTACTGCTGCAATTATAACCAGGAGGAACTGACAAGGTAGAGAAGTATGAAGAAAGCCTCAAAGAGAGGGACATATGGAAGACAGAAACAGGGAAGCAGGAACTTTTAGCCACAACACTGTTTCAAAGTACTCCAACTCTGATGGCCTACTTTTCTTTCTGGCTGGAGAAAGCAGTTACTATTTTCTCCTTTGCAGATAGTAATATATTCTCTGCATTGGCTGGGATTAATCTCAAGGATGATTCAGCACCATTCATAATAATCAAGATACTAATTGCATCACAGCACTATTTTTATTATCCTTCTTATAGGAAATTATTCTTATTGTCCTTCTTATGGGAAGGGTTTTTCTCTATCAAGAAACCCTCTTATGAACCTCAGTAGTTAATATGACAGACAGGATCCAGTATCACAATGGTGTTAAAAGAACACTGCTATTGTTCTTGGAACAGATAACAGAGGCACCTATCGAACCTAGGGACTAACAGCATCAGAAATGTCTTAGTTCTGCCTATGCTTCTATTGCCACATTACTGGAATGTAAGGATTTGAAGATAAACAAGAGTTAAACTCAAGCCACCAAAATAAAGACGTATCTTCTCAATAAAGAACAACACATATGTAAAGTATTAGTAAATTCAGTAGTGCTTTTGATATTTGAAAAAGGATGTAATTCTTTACCTGGGTAGTTTTTGCTCTTCTGCCATGCATACTGTTGCTATGGCTCATTTTTTGGTGAGTGAACCCTTCAGACAGGCAATGAGATTTCCTGCAGGGGAGTGTGTTATAATTATTATAAGAAGGAACATTCTCCACTGTGGCAGGTGAAGTTTTGTGGTTCCCAATATCTGGGCTATGAGATACGAAATTCTGACAGTACCCTCCCAGCATGTTTCGTGGGCCACCATTTGTTGTAGCAGCTGTGTTTTGAGGAGAATACAAATCACTCATGGAATTGGCACGCTGGCAGGTGACCAACTGTTGATGACTATTGCTGGCCTCTCTTTCTCGATTCTCTTCACCATCCTTTTCCTCAGCAGAGCCCAAGATTTCTTCATTGCTTGTTAAGTGTTCTTGACTGAGATCAGAAAGTGAAAATTCCAAGCTGTCCTCCCGCCAGATATCTGCAGATTTTGAACGTTTTTTCTTGAAGCTCATAGGCTCCAAGAAAGTGGTCCCATTTGTTGAGTATGGATGTTGCCTGTTACCTCCTTCAGCCAAATATCCATCAGCATAAAGTCTGCCTTCTTCGGAATTAGGCATACTCTGTATGGATGCTGCCATGTGAACTGTGCTACTATTCATGCTGTGAGTGACAGAAGAATCTGTATGGTAAGAAACTGGCCTTAAACCCATGTCCACTCTGTCTACCCAGATTGGGCTTCCAAAATCATCCAAGTTGCCTTCTTGGGTAAAAGGTTCCAAGCCATTTTCAGCTAATGACTGAGGGATACTGGGAGTACTACTAGATCGAGTGCTTACTTCTGAGTTTCTGTGAATAATTTTTCCTGAAGAAGCATGTCTGGTCCGTCGAGATGCTTTGTTTGAAAGGCGAAGTGAGCGTGATGTATGTTTTCGTCCCAGGCTGGCATGTTTCTCTCCATAGAACGGATGTTCTACATTTTGACTCTCTGCATTGCCCATGGTTTTAATGGCTGCAATAACAAGAAAACCCATGTTACAAATGCAATTTTTACAAACTCTAGCCCTTCTATGTTTCTTCGTATCTATATACTTGAAGCTGCTGACAAGAAAGTGTGGTTCTCTAACAACAGTATCATCTTATAAGCAATATATAGGCCATCATCTTCTCTTACACATCAACGCAGAAAACAGGGAATGAATTAAGACCAATGTAGGGTTACGGATAAATCCTGAGATACAGCCCAATGGATGAACGGGCCTATATATGTTCACAGTGTTACAGACTGCTTTTCTATGTACAAGTCATTCCTTGCCAAACAAGTGACCAAGGAATGAATTTGTTTACGGAAAGATGTCTTTGAGTGTTCACATGTATGACTATGCACATGTCATCTCCACTGTGCTACTGTGCGAAATTCAAAAGCAAAGTAAGTTGAAATCAATAAATATTTCAACCATATAGATTGCACAGAAGATCCAATTTATCATCACAATAGATTATACCAATATGTGCAATACTGAGATAAACTGTCCTTAAGATAAATAATGAAAATAACCCTGTCCAGATAATTTTTGTTTCTCTATAAGAAAAGAAGGACCAAAAAAAGATATGCAAGATATATGCCACTCCTCCCTCCTCTTACAGCCCCATGCATGGCTTCCAAACAATGGCAAGGAATATTGGAGCCTGCCTCCCACTGGCACTGCTCTCCTTAGGCCGCCACTGGCTGATGACATTGTCAGCCTCATTGGGGCTCCATGCTGTGGCCCCCACCAGCTCCCTCTCTCCCAACTCTGGCTCCGACAGCAGCTGTGGCAAAGGCAATTTCCCCAGGTAAGGACTGGCTGGGTGTGCTTCTGTCTCTCACAGCCCAGAGGTAGCCTTGGTGGTGTCAGGGGCAAGCCAAGTCCGGGCTGGGCACCAGCTCTGAACAGAATAGCATCACTCCCCTACTATTTGACTACTCACTAGTAACAAGTATTAAGAGACATATAATCTCAGAGTATTTACAATGCAATCCTAAGAAGAGTTATACCCTTCAGAATTTTAATGCAGAGCAGAGCTGGTCACACATAAATCCCCCCCCCCCTTTAGCACAGTGGTCTTGCAGCAGAAGGGGAGGGGTGCATCTCCTCTGAAAGTGTTGGAAGTCAGGCCCTAGTGGGTCTTTGGCAGACCCTGAGTTAGGGGATGCAAAAGGGGTTGGTCCTTCCCTGCAGCTGGTGATCTGTGGTGCCCCCTCTGGATGTCTGCTGGGGACAACAGGAGAAGCCAGATCCTTTATACTCCGCTGCAGATCTGTGGGGCTGGGCCAGGTTGGACCTTCAGGATATTAGTTAACCTTTCTGTGGGTCTCTGACTTGGGGGGCCTGCCGTCCGTAGACTGAATCTTGTATGCCCTTCTCTATGTTGACTTCCTAAGGAAGAAGGTGATCCATTATGCTGACAACTTCTGCAGTGTCATTCGCGGTATTTAAATAAATGCTAGGTTTTAAAAAACAAAAGAAAACATAATTTTAATGTGTGTAACTGTGTTTTAAGATTGTACAATTAGTCTTCATTCCCCATAGTCAGTTCTCCAAGTCAGTTAAAAAGTTAGTTAGTTAGTTTAAAAGTCTCTCTTTTCCAGTCCTCTTCACTGGGAAAGAAAATTAATTGAGAATATACCAGCATAAATAGTCAATGAATAGCCCACCCAGTCATTCAACAGTCACGAAAGCTCATACCCTGCAACAAATTTTGTTAGTCTTTAAGGTGCTATTGGACTCTTGCTCTTTTCTACTGCTACAGACAAACTAACACAGCTACCCATCTTGAGTAAATTGAGTAACTTTGTGCTTAGAAAATCTACATATTATGGCACAAGTTCAAGAGGCTTCTTTTACGGGGGGGGGGACATACTTTGTAGACAAAGGCATGGTC